ATATGTAATTATCCTTAAACATTCAAAAACTTTAGTATACTTCCTTTGAAAAGATCCAACTCCTTTCTAGTTCCTTTTTAAAATGCTAAAACGAAAATAAAAAAATCTAAATGTTATAGTTTAATCTCTTGTATTGCTAATAATCTCATATTCCAAAAAAAAAATGTTTACTATATTTTAATTGGCCGTTTTTAATGCAAAAATAATTTTGAATATTTTATTGAAAATTTCAGATTTATCAACTGGTTTATTTAAAGAATTTTTAACTCAATGTTTTGCTTAGGCTAGTTTTCTGTAAAGCTTCGCGCAAATATGATATCATTAGAAAATTACTCTTATAATCTTTTTTTAACATTTTAATTCTACGTTTATATAACTACTAATAACAACGTTATATTTTAGATTTTCTCATGTAATTGAGTATTTTTTTCATAAATTGTTCATTAAAAAAGCTATAAAATTGTTCAGATTAATATCAAATAATTAAATTATATATTTTTACATGTAATAAATATTTAAAATTTTAATTTATGTTTACTACAATAATTAATTGTTTATTTCATTATAAGTTACATTCCAAAGAAGTCTAGTCATTGTGTTATTTTTTTTTTATACAAAATATAATTTTATAAATTTTATTCATCTTCTTTACTTCAAATATAAATAAATATTGGTACAGAAACATATCACTTCACTACCGTTAAATAAAGAACCAATAATGCCTTTATGTTTTGTATCGTAACATATTAAGAAGTTGAGCAAGATTTATAAGTAGATTTTTTTACATTTTTAATTTTATATTTTAAACATATTTAAAGCCCAAATGAACTTGCATAATATTCATAAATAAAAAATAAATGTAATAATTAATAAAAAATAATTTATTTTACGGTAACATTTTTTCAAAATCGCAAAAATTTTCCAAAAAAAAAAATTTTTTTTTTTTAAATATTTTTTGTTGATAATTCAAACGGACTTAATTTACCCAGCATAATTAAGTCCGTTTGAACAAAATATAAAAAAAATGAACGTATCAGAGTTAAAAGGATTATTAATAAAAAATATTGCTACCATAGTTGTATTAAAATATTTAAAAATATAGAAATCAGTTTTAAATGCATTAAAACTCATTGATACTATTTTCATAAAAAAAGGGATTTCATTATATCTTTAAACATATATAAGTCACATGACAATTTGGAATATCATTTATATGTTTTAAAATGGAAATTTCCTAGAAGTATTAGTCCTAGGAAATTTATTTCTACGGCATACGATTACAACCATATAATTGTTAAGAACATAAATTCATATATAAAAAGAAAGAATCTATTATGTATTATTATAGAAAATATAATGTGATTTGATGTTGTATTTGAATTAAATGATGTTTTTACATTTTATATTCCTACCCTACATAATATATAATTCATATTGTTAGTACTCAAAAATACATAAATTTTATATAAGAAATTTATTTAATAAACAAGTAATTTTATAAGTCGATTGAATAAAAACTCCGTAGATTTATGATTTACAAAAAAAAGGTTTTAATCCCTATAATTTGAAATAATGCGAAAATTAATTAATTACCATATCTAAACTAGCGTTAAAAATGTATTTTCATTGGCACATGACTAGTACCATAAAAGACTAATTTAACTTCAACAACTATAAGGTACAGTCGGCTGCATAAATATCTATGCATTTACAAAACTTTTAGACACGTTTTCGGATGGATGCATACAATGCAAAAGTGTATAGAAGCTTCGCATTGTATACATATTAATGCAGCTGACAGTACATTAAGTGTACAGTCAGCTGCATCGAAGTGTCTGTATCATGGCAAGTGTCTCTGTAGGAACCTAAGTGTCTCTTGCATCCATACAATTGTAAATATCACAGATATTAATACCGCAATTTCTGTCATCTTAAGGTACGGAAATGAAATAGAAAAAAAATAATTGTCTATTAATTCATGCATGGTTTTAAAAATAACGACTTCAGAAATACAATATCTACAAACGTGTTGAATTAATTAAAAAGCAAATGGAAAATACAATAAAAGCCGTCTAGAATTAATTTGCTCTTCAAAGTTCTTAAGCCAAGTAAAACTCATTTGCATGTAAATGTACATTTAAAATGCTAATTTAAATTCAAATGGAAAACTTGAGTGTACATAATCATTTATATGTTGAATTTAATGATGCTTTTAACAGATAAATTTAATTCAATCGTAGAAAATGATTGAAATACTGAAAATATATTATCTGTGGTGAATCCCACGACAAAAATATTTATATTTAACAGTGAAATCCCATTGCTATGATAGTTGTATTCGAGACGTAAATTCGTCTTTGTTTTTTTTTTCAAAAAGAAATAGAGCTATGTTTAAATACAAGTTTTGCAATAATGAAAACTCACACTAAAAGTAAAGTTTATTGTACAGTTTACTTGAATATGGATTTAAAAATGATTTCATAGCATAAATAAGTTGATCCGTATATATTTGCGCCTTTTGCCGTGGAAACCTTGGGGCCTTGGGGTGCGGAAGCCCGTCGCCTGTTTAAGGAGAATTCCGCACGCCTCATCGACGCCTCAGGGGATCCAAGGGCTGGCGCGCATTTCGGCCAAAGGTTGAGCCTGGCCATCCAACGGGGAAATGCCGCCAGCCTCTTGGGAACCCTACCGTGCGACCGCAGCGATTTGGGGTCGATTTTTTATATTATTTAGTTTTATTTTTAGTTTGGTTTAGTTTTAGTATATAGTTTATAGTATTATTTTGGTAGTTTAATTAATTAGTTTTATTAACTTAAATAACTAGCAATATATGTTCTTATTTTGATAATAACGATACCAAAATTCTTAATATGAATACAGTTGGGAAAATATGAATAAAATTCTATATTATTCAGGGTCGAAAATCATACTTATAAAATTACGCTAGACTCATCTTACCGCCTGACCTTGACATCTTCCCACATAACTTGTAATAATAGTAATATTACTTTCCCTTACTATTTCAATATATTCTGTATGTCGACATACTAAGATATTATAGTTAAATGACGTATTCTCTATTTGTAGGACCACGATATCTTACTAATATTATAAATGCGAATGTTTGTATGAATGTTTGTTTGAAAGTATCTGCAAAATGGCTGCACAGATATCGCTGAAATGTGAGATGTACAACAAAATCTGGAAGAAAACATAGGCTACTAATTAAGTTTTTGTCATTTCGCGCAGACGTGGTGGCGGGCGGCAGCTAGTTTATATAATTTGTTTGATACGTAAAGCCATTTGAGTGATAAATATTGTTGGTTTGCCGATTTTTAATATGGTATGAGGATGGGATGTCTTTTTTTTCTTTTTTCATTTTAAACTGTTAATGACTGGACAAATTTTGATAATTAAGGTATCATAAGATTCGTATTCTTCCATAGAGTGTAATAAATGAGGTCACTTTCATTAGTAATAATTCTTTTAGGAACTATGTCTTGTCTATTTACATCTTACTTCTTACTAATATTATAAATGCGAATATTTGGATGGATGTTACTTTGAAGATATCTCCAGAATGACTGTATGGATCTTGCTGAAATTTGCCATAGATGTAGAACATAATCTGGAAGAACACATGGACTACTAATTAAGTTATTGTCATTCCGGGCGGACGGAGTCGCGGGCAACAGCTAGTTAAAATATAAATATAAAATATAAGCCCTCGTAGGACCTTCGTCAGGCTCGTAAAAAGTGTTGTCAGACAAGTGACATTTGAGCGACATCAACGCCCTCTGGAGATGTCACGAAATCCATTACCGAGCTATATCAGACGTTCTAAGAATACTTATTAGTATTGGTTAGGATTCCATATGAATGTAATAGAATTCTTTTGGAACTGGAATTCTTTTTATCACATATTTGCTTGATATTTATCTATCTCTTCATTTGTGTTTGGTATACTGTATAATTTTACCGTTGACTATCATTGCCGGAATCCTTTTACATAAAAATAGTGTATACAATTAATTAATTAAGAAATTTATTTCGTATATTTTTTTCTTTGCCAAACTATATTCCTACACTTCGTCTGAGCCAGATTAAAAATAGGTTAGATTAAAATAGCCAATTTTCAAATCTCTTGAATATGAATAAAATATTTCATAAAAATCGGTCAAGCCGTATACGTATAGTAACTAACATTGTGACATGATAATTTTATATTAGATTCACGGATAAATTAAACTCTAAATATAAATGTTTTTAACAATTGTGAAACGAAATACTGAAAGTTGAGAATTTCAGAGTAAATTTAATTAATGAACTTTAGTCGGCGGGTCGAAGAAAATTTATAGCAAGAATTTAAGTAATTTTATTGAAATTTGCGATCTCATCTAATGAACCGAAATATCGAAGATATATTAAATCTTAACAACTCTGTAATTAGAGAAGGTAAATCATTAAAAATAAATTCTACCTACCTTTACACGTTCCTGAGAAAAGGGTCTTGACAGACAGACGGACGAACAACATAAAACCCTATAAGGGTTCCATTCTTTTTCTTTCGGAACCCTTAAAACTAAGGAAAATATGAAATTCAAGACAAATACTAAAAATAATCATACTAATATTATAAATGCGAATGTTTAGATGGATGTTTGCTTAAAGGTATCTCCGAAACGGCTGAACGGATTTTAATGAACTTTTGACACGAGAACTAAGTCTGGACGAACACATAGGTTAGTTATGTTTTTTAATTCTGCGCGTACGGAATCTCGGGTCACAGCTAGTTTACGAAAAAAAGGCAAATTAAATTTGTTCTCTGACTTAGTACGATAATATAAAAATAATGCAATCTTACCTTTCTAAACAAATAAACATTGTTAATTGAGTAAATAATTTCAGTAAATAGAAATCTACGATTATTTCTTACCATTTAAAACCTTATCAAAGAAACAATTATAATTTAATAGTGCCTATCGATACAGTAATAAAGAGGCATTAAATCGAGCTTCGAATCACAAATACATACGTACAACGATCGTAAATTTAGTACCAAAACAAACGAAATGTCAAACATTCGTAATAATGTTGAAGTTTACGCGGAATTTCGTTTTATTTATGTGTATTACTTATGCACGAAGTAACAATACTATGGAGCCATATGTTATAGGGGGTGATTTTACTGATATAACTCATTTCCCTCATTCAGTATTCTTGAATATAGATTGCATGTCTACTTGGATATGTGGGTCATCGATATTGAATCAAAGGATATTATTAACAGCAGCACACTGTATCACCGGTTGCAAAAGACAATGGAAAATAGAAGGTTACGCTGGACATGAAAACCTTAGTAAGGTACATGTTTTTTGTTCTGAATTATAATATCTTTAATATGTTAATTGTATTACTATGACCTTGATAGTTTAGAAGACATATAAATAGTGGTATAGACCAATTTAATATAAATGAGAAACTATCTTAGTAAATGCGAATGGATGTTTGTTTGAAGGTCACAGCGCCTCAACGGATCCGCTGAAATTTGGCATAGATGTAGAACAGTCTGGAAGAACACATACTACCTATTATTTTTTTTTAATTCCGACGCGAGTCGCGGCTGACAGTTACTATTTACATATTATATTTTACTGGCTGATTTTATTTATTGTCTGTGGATTTATTTTGGAAAAATTTAGTGCTCAAATTGATTATAAAAACACGTCGTTTTTAATTAGTCTGTGATTACAGGCTTATGAGGGTAAACTTGTTTCTTCTTCTTCGTCTTTTCAGTCTTTTTAGACTGGTCGTGGTCATCAAGTATCAGTGACCCGCTTCACTAGGCGCCATTCAAGATTGCTTACGAAGTTTTTAATATTTTTTAATTTACATTGAATTACAATATGAATACCACGGCAAAAATATTCATAAAATGGTCGATCCATCAAATACCACAATTTTAGTTTTGTCTACAATAACGTAGACACATATGAGCGTCTCTGTCTTATTTATAGAGATGGAAAGAGATAACGATACAGTAGAAACTCATTTACAGAAGTCTCACGATGAAATTGATAGTGCCTAGGTCCTCGTATTCGTATGTTTGTAAATAACAAAGTTATAATTATATTTATTTAATTGTGAAACATATAAATTGCAGGTTAAAGTTATGAGGACTGTAAATAAGATATTAATGCACGAGAATTTCGATGACCAATCTATGGCCAATGATATAGCACTGCTCTATCTAGTAAAGAGTTTACCTCTTGGTAAATACATACAGCGAGTGACGATCAGAAAATGGCATTCGCCCAGTGAAATTGCCAGTGTTGCTGGATGGGGCATCGTCAATGTAAGCATTTTTTCATTAAATTGATGCATTGTCTTCTATATATGGACTGGCTATTAGAGACAGTATTTTGTGCCAATTTGATATTCACCATTTTAGTGTGCGGGCAATGGCTATCGAGTTACAAGTCTCCTAATGTGTATATTAATTTTTAGAGAGTTACAAATAAAGATTCGATATATTTGAAAAGAGCCCTGCAGAGAGTAATGTCGCCGCGGTTGTGTGCTCGCTTCGGCGGCATGTATAGCGGCATGATGTGCGCCAAAAGTCCTGAGAAAAACACCAGCCCTGCGTCGTAAGTAACTTAGAGAAATGCCACACGTCCTGCGCCACGCCGCCCGCATTGCATACGAATAATGAAAAACAAAGCAACATAAGTCCTAAATAATGATGCTAATTTTTGTATAACGGTCCGTTTTACCAGTCCGTACTCTTAGGGTACGCGTCCATTACGTATAGCCTGCAACGGATTTTAGTATTGCTTAGTATGATATTACACAATACTGCGTACATAATACGCGTCGACCGCAGTAAGATAAAACAAATCCGTTTAATGCGTCCCACGCGGACCAATGGACCTTTAAGGAATGAAATGGTAAAACAATACTCAAAAGTAAATAAGCAGATATATGTTTTTAATTCTATAGTCAAATTTACTTACCATATGTGTTACTTCTAATTCTGAGGTTTCTCACCAAGCATTAGCGGGAATGGCGTGCTTTTATTACAAAGTCAAGTGTCAAAATTATCAGTGAGGGAACATAAAGGTCGACGTTTTAGTAATGCTAGTGTTGCGGCAGTACACCGGCACAGTGTCGGATTTTCTTCCTAAGAGTAGTAACTTTTTTTCATATTTTTTGGTGATTATAATATGTTTTATATTTTCAGTGGAGATTCAGGCAGTGCACTCATTACTAAGGATATGCAGCAAATTGGCTTAGTATCGTATATATTTTCCGAATATCCCGAAATGCCCATCTATACCAACGTCTCTCACTATTACTTTTGGATTAAAACTAAATCCATTTCTCTACATTGTAGCTAATAATTCTTGGAATATTAATAAAATTCACTAAATAAATACATTGTTTTATTTAAAAAAAACATGGTTTTACTTAAGGAATACTTCTTACTAATATTATAAATGCGAATGTTTAGATGGATGGATTGTTTGAAGGTATCTATAAGCTGAACGGATTTCGATGTAATTTGGCATATATAGAACATACTCTGGAAGAACACATTGGCTACTAATTATGTTTTTCTTTTATTCCGGGTGTACGGAGTCGCGGGCGATAGCTAGTAGCTAGTAGGAACCTTTCCGTCTGAGTCCCAGATCAGAGATAAAGTATTAATAATTTAAATAGTTTTTTTTTCTAGATTAATTTCTTTTAATCAAACAGTTCTGATGCCAAAATCATTTTAATAATACCAAAAACACATATGTACATATGTCAATCATTTTATCAGACGAAATATGATTATGCGTAGGCTTCAAAAATGCGAGCTTTACAAATAATAAAAAAAACCTCTATGTACTATCTTCTCCTTCTTCTTGAGGTGCCTCTCCGACTAAAGGTCGGCAATCAGTTCTCCTTATTTTCTCTTGTCTCTTGCGAGGCAATAATTGGGCGGCAGTCGCAACCACTGCCAACTCTCGGATGTTGCGCAACCCAGGACTTTTTTCTGCGACCAACAATGTTTTTTCGCCTGGGGATTCTTCGCACCTCTGTCTCATTTAAAGGACGCCAGGAACTCGGGGCCATTTCAAATACATATGTATAGTACATATATGAAATATATACTATAAATAAATATCAATCACCGGAGCGATCAATCTTTAACCATCTTACATTTTTATTGTCATAAATATGAAAATAATATATTGGGCTTAGCGGTTGCTATACTTGTAAAGTTTAAAAAAAAATGCACGAATAATTTTAAAATTGATATAATTTTTCGATGATACCAACTGTTGAATTTAAATAATTAAATTGTAGGCTGATATTTTGCACGTGTGATTTTTAGTTTAAATAAGAATGCAGAATATTCAATACTCATAAAATGTGTTACTAGGTCGGAACTGTTAATTTTTATTGGATATTAAAAAGTTCTGACGCAATAAATTGTCTCAATTTTTCACAAAACATTGTACTTAATGCATAACTTTATCTTAATTAACTCAGTCATTAGCTTATTGCGTTAAATTGACTAATTAACGAAACTTTAGTGCGTTATAAATTTGAACAAAAGAAATCCAACATACGATGCGTGGATTAAAAAATTTAATAATTGCAACATTATTTTTATATAAAATAGCAAGATCTTCGAACAAAAAAATGGAACCTTTTGTAGTTAATGGAGATTTCGCTAAAATAAAGCAATATCCACATTGCGTTTTTTTAGTCGTGGACTGTCATGGAAAATGGATTTGTGGCTCGTCTGTTGTTAATCAGAAAATACTTCTTACCGCTGCCCACTGTTTGTTTTGTGCTAATACTAAACCCAAAATCGATGCATTTGCTGGTCACGAGAATATTAAACAGGTAATATTACTAATTAACGAAGAAGCAAAAGACATGTGTCACGTTCGCGCCAAATCTTGACCCAAATGAAAATAGGTTAGTTAGGTCTCTTTATGTTAGATTCGGTTTGGGTTATAAATGGAAGCATACAGATAAACATTATAACATAATAAATACGAATTAATATTACATATAATATTAATAATTCATTTGTTACAGACAAACGTGAATAGAGCTGTTAAGAAATTATTAATTCACGATAAATATTCTGACAGAAATGTCAATAGCGATATAGGGTTAGTAATGCTGTCCGAAGATTTACCATTAGGTAAAAAAATTAAAAGAGTCATACTTGTAAAACAATCAAATTACGGTCTTAGCGCTGTTGTGGCGGGGTGGGGGGCAATAAGTGTACGTATAAATTATACATTTTAAAACATTCAGTATATTTGCCATTTTTGTAACATAATATTATCTGCAAAACTTCAATTCAAAGAAATATGCTTAATTCAGAATTAACTTTTTATTACCTACAAAGAATAGGTGTGGTTATATTTTTTTCACTAATAGTAGAGTCACAAGTCACTCTCATTCAGCCAAAATGCATAAATATTACTAGTCTATAAAAAAATTAAAAAACTCATTTAGGATGAACCAGAAAGAGGTACCGATACATTGAAATGGGCGAACCAGAAAGTGAGGTCCGAGAAAACTTGTACCAAACTCGGCAAATTGAAACCAGGCATGATGTGCGCGGGAAGCACAAGCAAGGAACATCCGCGACCAAGTAAGTAAGTACATCAAACTTTAATATTAACAAAACTAAAAATTATTTATCGGCAGCTATGCCTTTTTTACATTTATAAAGATTTGTATTTAGTATGTTTGGTAACGAATGAACTCAAAAACAACTAGATAGCTTCTAAAATTTCTTTCGCTATTAGTATGCTAGTTTCTGAGTATTATAGACTACATATAATTTGTAGCATTATATTACAAAAATTTTACCCTTAAAAATGGAATTGGAACAAATAATGGGCAAAGTTCCTTTTGCGGGCTAACCCGCACGTTCGGAATAAAACTACGTAAACATGAAAATATGGATCTGTGGATTGAACGGGCAGCGTACGTGCTCCACTGACCGCAAAATAAAATCATTTCTATTTTGCCGGAATCCGTGGGCAAAGTTTGGCGAATTCAATTCATAAATATTTATAAAATTGAAGTATGTATGTAATACAGAAAAAAAAACATTTTTTAAAAATTTTATCTGTCTGTCCGCAAGACCGCTTTTGTTTCGGGTAATCTCCGAAACGGCTGCACCGATTTTGATGAGACTTTGACGGAAAGGAGACCTCTAGTTGTCAATATTACAACTTTCATTAGGCTTTTATTAATAAGTGGTATATTTTAAAGTCTAGACTATGCTCGAAAGACATCCCTGGTAATTATTAAGCATAAATCTATTTTATTTACAGAGGTGATTCAGGCAGTGCTCTAATCACAGCCAATTACGAGCAGATTGGGATCGTCTCTTACCGTCTTATGACCTACCCGGGTTTAGTTGTTTACACCAATGTCTCTTACTACTACGATTGGATTAAAGAGAAATCAAGATTGATGTATTGCGGCTAAAAAATAATAACATATTTCTTTATCAAATTTTTACTTTTAACTTCAGTTTCAATAAAACATAGCATAAAAAATGTATGTAGAAAGTTGAAAATTCCAGATTTTTGTCAAATAAATTCGATATGCTTAACAGGATGTAAAAGATATAGATAATTTTATTGGGAAATATTTATTTTTCATACAATAAAACATCAGTTTTTAACAATTACTTTATTAATATTAACCTCTCCGAAGAAATAGTTTGCATATTGAAAACAATGCTTTAACCATCTAAAAATTTTATAAAAAATTTGTAATCTATAAATCCCCAGCCATCATTTTTACATAGTGAGAAATCTTTCATAAGTCCATATATATTGTCAATTAAGAAAATCAGTTAGCGGGGGCAGGATTTGACCCTGAAGTCGCAGCCGCAGCTTCATTCTCCATTGCATGAGATGGAGGATGTTCAAGAACATTATCAATCAACCCAAATGCTTTAGCTTCAGAGGGAGACATGAAATGATCACGTTCCATCGAAGACTGCACTTTTTCTAATTCTAAACCCGTATGTCTTACGTACAATGAATTAATCTGAGCTTTGAGTTTTAATATTTCTTCAGCTTGGATCTGGATGTCTGTCGCTTGACCTCTCACTCCACCTGATGGTTGATGTATCATAATACGTGAGTTAGGCAATGCATGACGCATTCCTGGTGCTCCGGCTGCCAATAGCAATGATGCCATACTACACGCCTGACCTACACACCATGTAGCTACAGGAGGAGTAATATATTGCATTGTATCATATATTCCTAAACCAGCTGTTACATTCCCACCCGGAGAGTTTATGTAGAGATGTACTGGCTTTTTACTAGATTCAGACTGAAGGAAAAGAAGTTGAGCAACAATTAATGAACTAATCTCGTCATTTACAGGACCCATTAAACAAATAATCCGTTCACGTAAAAGTCTTGAGTAAATGTCGTATGCTCTCTCGCCTCTTCCAGTTTGTTCCACAACGATTGGTATCATGCCAAGCCGTGCTGGATTCGTCGAACTTATGTATCGTATATTCGATTGAACTCTTTGAGAGTTAGTAGATACAAGTTTAACCATGTGGCGAACATAATTTAAAGCCATTTTATACAAATTAGCATAAGTTTTTATAGTAATTTGTTTAAGTCACAATTTGTCGTGTCTTTCTACGTATTCTTATAATCGTATTCTTCAGTTTATTTTCGAAGTGCGTAAATGATGATTAATCTCAACTCAATGTTTCCATAAAACTACACGAATTTAAGGTAATATTAATTAATTTGTTTTTATTATTCGAAAAAGTTTTGAGATACTGATGTTTTCGACATTTCCGAAATAAAATTGACACTGACAGCCAGCTGACACACTGACATTATTTTTCTTTTAGCGTATCATTTACACAGATAAGATAATTTTCGGACAGACGCTGATTTTTTTTAAAACTTTTTTTTTATATAATTGAGTTCGTAAAGATACCTTTATTGTGTGGGGCTTGTTCCTTTAACTCATCTTTTCGTACAACATATAAATGTATGGTGAGATCAACACACATTTTACAGTATAATATACATGGTGATGATTATAACACTACATACCTGTCTGTTCTTAGTTCTTGCTTGTATTTAATATTGTACGGAGCCGACTAACACCGTATTACGACTAAGAATCCTGTGGATTTATTCTTACCTTTTAAAAAACAAGATTCATGGAAATGGGTAAATAAAATGTAGGAATGTTGAATCAACTGTTATTATTTTACAATGTTAATGCTTATATATAAAAATCATAGTAATAATCGATAATGCAATAAAAAGTATAATCACATTCTCATTAAACACTTATAATAATTGTAGATATATTATGGCATAGCAGGATCAAAAACTGATACCTTATTAAAAAAATATATAAATTAAGCCCCTTACACACTTGATATTTACTTGTCTTGTGACGTAAAAAACAACAATAATTGCTTATCAATAGAACACAATAATTGCATGCGACAATCATGTTTTGGCCTGTGTCTGCTTACGCAGTCTTAATTTCATTAATGCTTCCTGTCTCTTTTTCTCAATGATTGCTTTTATATCTTCAGAATTACTCCTTTGATTTGACACCGGTGGGTTATTACAATTAGGTTTAACATTATTAGATAATTTAGAATGCAGAAATGCTTTCTCACTAGGAACTTTAGGCTGGAATTTATACTTATTCGATGAGGTTTTTTCTGGTATTGAAGGTAGTGTATTTGAACATGGCAATGATGTAAATGGTAACTGTCTTTTCGCTAGTAATTTTTCTCTAGCCATCTGATGTTTCTTCTTAATTTCATCTGGCGTACATCTTATCGGAGAATCACTTGGATCTATAAGGATAAAAAAATATTTATTTAATTTATAAAAAGTAAGCATTTGAACTTACTAACTAGTAGTCGCTGGCAACACAATAAAATTAAAAAATGAAACAAAAAAGTAGCCCATATAATATGCCAGCACGCATCAGTTACCTTCTTGTCCAAGTCCTTCTGAATTCAGCTAAACTGTTTTTGAGATTACCCGGAACAAGCGGACTTACTGACAGACACACAGAGAATTCAAAAACTGGTTTCTCATTATAAGCATTGCATATTTGCAATGCTTATAACGAGAAATATACTGTACAAACATACTGTATCATCATCAACCAACATCAACATCTCTGTCAGCCGTAATATCTGAATCTAGCCCCTTCCTAAGCATTTCCTCTTTCACACAATCCATCCATACTTTTCAAATGTACTATATGTTTGTGAAATATGATTTTTTGTATTACAAATGGACACACATTTTATTAATTGCTTATAGAATTTAAGATGAATTGTTATAAAATTTACCCATTTGATTTTTATCCATTGGCATTGAACTGTATCTTCCAAAAGCCATACCACTAGTTGATGGTTTATTGGGCTGCGGTACAGATGGAGATTCTGGCATAGAACTATGACGACTAAATGATTTAGAAAATGAACCATTAAAATCTAAATATAATTCATTTGTTTTCTTAGTCTTTGGTTCATGTGTAGTCCTAGGTTTTGTTGGCATTTGTGTAAGTCTTTCTAAAGCACTATCATTTAAATTACCAACAAATCCATCAAATGAATCATTTACAAGTTGCGGTGAATTACACTTTTTAACCCGTTTTGCACATGGTGATTCAAATTTAATACTGTTAAGTATTGCATCCATAGAATCTTGGTCTATTTTGATAAATGATGAATTTGTACATTTATTTTTGTTACTGGCAACATCATTTTTTGGCTTCATATCATCTTTTAATAAATTCTCTTCAACAACCTGAGTTGCTTTCAATAAACATTCATTCATTGAATCGTCCGAATCTAAACCGACTTCAGGTTCCGGTTTAGAAAACCTTGAACTTAAAAGATTTTTTCTTAAACAAGTATTACTTCTTAGACCACTTTTTGGAGAAAACTCTTGTATATCTATAAATATGTCATCTTCAGAGTCATCTCTTTCCGGAATTGAATTTTTTTCTGCCTTATTACCTATTATTTCATGCAAGTTCTGATTTAATTCTAGAAGTTCTTGTAGGAGTGCATTTTTCTTTTGTGATGGTCTTATTGCTCTTCTTCTAGGTAATGGTTTTTCTAATACTTTAGGTCTTAAGGATTTTTTAGATCTTCTACTTAGTGGTGTTGTGTTCTTAAAATGTGCCCTGTTTCCTGACTTTGGTGTATAATGGTTCCATATTACATCAGTTTCTCCTTCAGTACCATCCTGTGTACATAGAAATGGGACTGGACTGGCAGAATCTGAATCACACAATGAATCACTGTCTCTTGATGGGGAATCATTTCTGTGTTCTGGTGTTGAGCAGAGTACTGCAAAGAAAAAGTTTAAAACTTAGTTCTTGTAAGTGCCAAAGTCTTGGAGTTAATGCCTTATGTACGTAAAATAAGTGGAAATGGAGATAAAGGAGATGATACAGATCAACTGTATACATGTTATAAAATCAAAAATATTTAAATTAATATATCATAATAGGGTACCATCCATTTAGCTTTAATATGTAATACACCTAAACTGTATACTAAAGATTGATATGGGTAGTGAGGTGCAACAGCTGTCTCATACACGATATTGTAGACCATACTGAACAATGTGATGTAAATAAGTCATGAATGTAAATGTAGAAGATAGATTTTATTGTTAAACGATTGTCAATGAATGTTAAGTGGTTTGAGTTGCTTGTTTGCCTATTTACTATCTCAAGACTAACAAAATCGTGCCCATCGGACCATTAAAATTACTGTAATTAGCTTGGAATTTTTTTATTGAGTTATTTGAATAATGAATAAAATACACATAAAATTACTTTTGTTTTTATTCCGTGGCACAACCATTTCATTTGAAGATTTACCGCGTTTGCTTGTCATAAATAATTATCACAATAATTTGAATTTAAAAACAAAGCTTGCAGTACATATCAAAAACACTTTTAACAAACTATTACTAAATCTTTGCGTTATATTCAACAAAACACAACACTAAATGCAACTGCGAAATGCAACTTAAAAAAGTTTGATCAACAAAGTTTAACAAGTTTAACCAAAAATATGGAATAAGAACATCAGATTTGGCATAATATCATACGTCCCTAAATCACTTCACTTGTCAACTGTCATTGTCCTGCTGTCCTGTCACCAAAATTGTCAGCAAGGATCAGTTTCTTTTCTTCAACATAAAAGACAAAAGTGTTGATGGACACACCAGGCATTAGTTAATTTTCTGAATTTATCCTAGGACCACCTTTAGATTTTTTCGTCTTAATTACAATTTTCAGTTAAAAAAGTTGTTAGTTGCTGAGTAATTAAAGATATTAAGACTTTATCTTATTTAAGGTATTTTTAACTCTACGATCGAATTTGCCTTTGCTGCATTATGGCAAAACTGAAAACCAAACGCATTATCTATTGCTGTCAAGTCAATCAGCCAATCAGGCAGCTACCGATGGTGGTCTATGGTTAGTCGAGCAAAGATCAGCAAAACATTCGGTCGCCTTGCTCGGTATTGCTTAGTCTTGCTTATAATATTGCTTGCAGTCGCGATGCTCCATCGGAAGTGACATTTCAAAGTGTAAGGTGTACAAGAACTCGTGAAAAATGCTCGCAGACGGAGAAGTTGTTGGTGACGGATCATGGAACCTCACAATTTACGTTACGGACTTGAACGAAAAGAGGACCATGGTCGTAAAAGGAGACATGCACATCGGCGGAGTTATGCTTAAACTTACAGAAAGCTTCGGTAAGTAATGATAAAAACACGTTTTCTTATTTAATTGTAATGTGCTGAAAGTTTCAGATATAGTTATCAGATATGATTTCCAAAATATCGTTGAATTTCTTCCCACAACCATCTTCATTGCTGAGTCATGTTTACCTTTTATGGAGTTTTATGTGTGCTTGAGTTTTTCACCTATTTCATATAAACCTTAGTTTAACATTAGAAAAGATCTATTGACAAGGTAAAAAACAGCTTTCAGCATTGTCTTGATTCCTCCATTTAGGTAAAAATAAATTTATTAAGCCAAATTTTTTTCTATCAATCTTGTCCTTATATTGTCAAATTTTACCTTTATAGTGATATCACAAAAAAAAAATGTATAATTGGGTGCATTTGCACGAAAGAATCAAGACTGGAAATTAGATCATTATTATTTATTCTAATGGTTTAAATGTTTAAACCAAACATGTTTTTATCAAATAACTTTACTGTAACTGCAATTGATGTGTTACTCATTGGCAAGAATATATTTTTCTGTTTAGATATTATTTGATAAAAAAAAAATATTAAACAAAAAGCAGTAAACTCGTGCATTTTGAAAAATGGTTATATGTCTTGGTTGTCTCACATACTGAATAAAATGCTAACATTGCATAGCTATTGTGGGTTTTTGAGACAAAAATCTCCATTTACAAAATTTCTGTGTTATGAAACATAATGACACGGATGACAATATGTTATGTACAGAGGTTATGATGTCTGAAATCAAAGGTAAATAGTGTTAGTATAAAAGACACTAGATGAACATATGTTATATACTAATATGTGTATATACTAATATTAATGTAACAACATTCTTAAGAAAAATGGTATTCCGAGTACTTATTATCAACTTTTCCTTATTTGCAATGAAAGCGTAAATATTGTAATCAATTTTACACTAAAACTTGTAAAATTCATAAATAAACCCATGCAACAATTTTACTTCATTTCAATGACAAAAAAATACAAACTGATTAAATTTGAAGTAATACAATGATTGCTATTTACGGAATGTGACATTTGTATGCTGTAAAGGTTTACGCAGCAATTTTTTTTATTTCATTTTGATAAGCTTTTATTTTGCATTTATCCATGCATTAAAATCCATTAGAGCATCTCTTGCCTTAACTGGTTTCATTGGTAATAAAAGCAATCGAGTAATACCAGTTGATGTAAGGAACAGCAAATTGCGCGAGGGAGATAGCGCGTATTCACATTCAGGCACGCGTCCTTCGCGGAAAGTATGTTAAACAAGTTTTTACGTTTTCGTACGTGAGGATGAACTGTCGATTATTTATATAAAGGGAATGTATTCAAAAATTAAGTCTTATATTACTACATAGCTTGTTTAAAACAATAACTGTTACGAAACTCCTTATTCTATAATACTTTTCTCAGTCATATTAAAAATAGACGTTATGTTTTACTTTTTTTTATTGTTATTACTATGTATTAGTAAATTATTTTTATTTATTTATAATCTTATATTTATAACAACGACGTACGCAAAATTTAAATGCAATCCGATCGTTAATGATTCTTAAAAGACGGCTCATACTTATTTTGATGCGCACACGCAGATTTACCGCTTTAATGATTCATTTCGTTACATCGTACTACATATTTAACTGAAGAATCTTAGTAAATATATGTTTAAGTTTACGTAAACAATATTAAAATTCTCACCTACGCGCAGCGCGGCGAGATAACTTTCAAAATGGCGGCAATATTCGCCCACTGTCATGAATTATTCACTATAACACGTACGAGTATGTTTCGTATTTATGTTTGACGAAAACATTTTCAATTAGGCCTAGATTTATGGTAACCTAGCCGAATGTTTTACCGAAATGTAAAAGAAATTTCTCTTGTATATGCTTAAGTCAACAATATATAGTAGAATTTAAAAAAAACGATTTTTATGCCTATTGTTTCGTGTTATGTGAGTTTAAAATAAAATAAATGAATAACTAACCAAGGATTACAAAATTACACACATTATATGATTGAATTTAACCTGATTAATATTCCCGAAGTTAAAAGTAAGATGTAATAGAAAAATATACGTATTGTGATATATTTAGTAACAAGTATGTTAAATAACATTGAAAATAATTTGAAGGTCTTTGTATAGATAAGCGATTCAAATATTAATCTAAAGAATTCGACGCTTGCGTTACGTAATTGCAAATAGGAATATCTTATCTGAAATCTAAATAGAGAGGCATTGTATATGGGTTTTTTCGCAGACTGTCGGCTGCCATAACGACATAATGAGATAATGTAAACGATGCCTTCTGTCGTCCTATTCCAAGATTAAGCAACCAATTCATTAAAAGTAAGATAATCTGTGTAACCCGATGACACTGGCAAGGAAAATAAAAAAAAACATGCCAAACATATAATCTGACAGGTGTAGTTTTTTGACTGTTACGTTTTACAAAAACAGACGGACATAACCTCTATGGTACTCGAATAATAAAAAACAATGTTAGCTATATTACTTACGAATGGCACTAAAATTAAGATAACATTGTTCAATCACTTGTAGGAATATATTTAGTGATGCTAGTGCGTTCTTAGAAGTTTATGTGCGTAGTTTCCGGCGCCCCCTCCCGGCCGGTGCAGATAACGTTATCATCCGTTCATTGTTCCTCTATGCAGCGCGGCCAATCGTGCACGGCCGTTGACTCGATTGTATTTTTAGCACTCCGACGCGATGTTAATCGATATATCGATGCCGGTACAGCACTAAAATGACAAATAATTTGCACTTATATCAAGATATTCCATGTCTATTCTAAAATAATATTATGTTAATTTATATTACTTTCCCAGTTAAATGACTTTCGCAATACTAAACACATTGTAGTTTTTACGCGGTTTTTTTAATAACAAATAGAAAATAGTTTAGCATTAAAATATGCTTCAGAATGTTGTAAATACCATATTAGTGATGTGCTAGCCCATTTAAAAGAGCGGGCAAATAAGAAGCCGATTTGAATTTAGTCTCGCATGACCAAAAGCGGTCTTTCTCGGCACCGGTCTTTAAAATGGCATGCAATTTATATGGCGCCGTTTGGCGATTTATGTAGATTGGTAAAATTCCACACGATGTAGTATGCGTTACCTATGTTATAATGGAGGAGTGAATGAACTATATGTGTACTGGGAGATAACTGGATGAATATGAAATATTATTGAACCAGGGAAGAGATGGAACTTGACGTCGTATTTACAGTGTCTGTTACACCAGTTCCTATTAGTTGAATAATTCTAGTATTAAAATTTCTTCCAACTGCTTTAGCGAATGAAAAATAAATCCTTTAACGTGAGATATCAGATCTATATTCGCTTTTAACTTCTCCAATTCAAACTTTCTAATATTATAAGTGCATATGTTTAGATGGATGGGTGTTTGTTAGAAGGTTTGCAGATCGGCTTAACTAATCTCGATGAATTTTAGCACATAACATAGTCTGGATGAATACATAGTCTATTTATTTATGATTTTTTATTTAATTCCTTTCGAATGAAGTCGTAAATATAGTATCAGTTCGAAAATATTATAAAGCATCGTTTTGATGTTAAGTTTTTTATAGTTCTAGTGAGGAGAGGCCTTTGCCGTATTGTCGTTTTATAAATAAAATATATTCAACGTTTTCATTTTGGAATAGTAATCCTTCATCGCATGGCTTATGACTTGCCACTTTGAAAGTTATGAAGGAATGTCCTATGTTGTATGGTTTTATCACTGTAGTTAGAACATAAGCTATAAGATTTTATCGCTTTTTGCGAATCATAAACTACCATAAAAGGTGTAGACGGTCATAAATGCCCGGTGCATTCTGCGGTGCGGCTCAGGGCAGGTTGGGAACTGTCGCCAAATAGGGCTCACTGCCGGACGCTAACGGTCTCTCGCATTTCTTCCCCCCCTCCACTCTTGTAACCTCAACCATCCCCCTACTAACTTAGCTAATTGCTTATGCGTGAATGTCTTTATCTATGCTAAGAGTTTGACTACAGACTGGCAAAGTTGTGCGCAAAGTTAGTTTCAAATGGGATTGGTAGGATTTGATACTTTAATATTTATTATGTAAAATGGCGGTCGACGAATGCTCTAAATAGTGTTGTTAAGGTAATTTTCTTTACAATCTCTTCACTCTTACGGCGAGTAATCGATATTTTTTTTATATATATCATAAGGTGTCAAACGAGCGAGCGGCCACCTGAAATCGCTGAAATAGCGAAGTGACCGTTGCCCATAGACGTACGCAATTGCATATGCGTTACCTGCCCGTTGCGACGGAGGAGAGGATGCACAGAAAGAAAATATTTTCCCTTCCCATGCATCCTCTCATCCGGAAAGTCACTTCCACTTCCCATCCTTTCCTTATAAAAAAAAGGGTGGGATGGGAAAAAGGACTAGATTAGGCCTCCGGGACGCACACTCATCAGACGAAACGCGGAATTGCTTCCACTTCACGACTGTCTTCTGTGTGGTCGTGGTATTTTACCGGGCGAGCCGGGCCGATTCATGCGAAGATGTTAAAGCGAGCTCTACCACTGTTAACATCTTGGTCCTTGTTAGGGCATCTCAGTTAGTGTTTCAATAAATATTTATTCTGGTACCGTCTTTTGGTGTACAATTTGCTGATCGTTGTACTTAATTAATATGATATTCACACGTTCACATACATCAATTTAAATCAATCCTTATTTATCCTAGGTTTGTGTAATGCAAATTAAATAGCGATCAAAGACTAACTAAATAAGTCTGCGTTACTGCGCGCTATGACGTTCTCCCTATTGTAATACGTAAACTGGCCAAGCATAGTGATAGGTTATAAACCAAACCCATTTGACGTCATATACTATTAAAAAGATTATTAATTTCATCGTGAAATAATAATATTAATGAAAATAAGTTAAAAACAGATGAGAATCTGACACCATTATTGTGTATACAGGATGCTAGAATGA